TTATAATTGGTTCGTCAATTTCTTGTTTCATCGACATGAATTTCATTCTTTCTTTCACTACCAGCCTTTTCTTGGGTCTCATATTTCTTCTTATAATCTGACTTATTTTTTCGAAAGTCAAGTCTTCCAAATTTAAGGGATATGCCATGGTGGAGACTTTCATTACCGCCTCACATCCAGCTGTAGCCAAAAATAAATCCGTGATTTCATTTTTGCCTCCCTTTTCCTTGTTGTCTTTCAACTTTTTTGTTCTCGCAGTGGCAGAGAAATAACGAATCCATGTATCCACGAATTCTGGATCTTCCAGAGACAATTGATATCCTATCAGCAACGCCATTGTTGTGATGTAGAGGTTAGCACTAATCAGCCGCTAAGCTCGTGTACTACCTTCGTTATTCTCAGTGACCACTTATATGAGTGTTCACTTATGCTTATGCAAATTATGCATACTAATTTGCTAGTATCACTACAGTATATTTTGTTTTTGGAAAATTTTTTAATAAAGAGAATTACATTGTGATGAAAGACAACAAGAAAGCACTAATCAACTATTTCATAAAAAAAAAAAAAATTTCTTCCAACAGTTTAAATTTTTTAAATACAGCAAAGTATTTTGATTATTGGAAATATTAAATTCAATATATTAGCTTGTAATCAAAACTATAACAGCTTCAAGAAAGATTTTTCATTTTTAAAAATTTATTTTAAACCTTAGGTATTGCATTTGTGAGTGTCCATACATTTGTATAAATATTTTTCTATAAAACATTCCCACTATTACCTCATTCCCTCTCCCCCTCACACACACACACATATTTCCAGACAGTAAGAATTCACTTAAACAAATTTAGTTAAATTCAAGTGAATTCAATGCCTGCCTAGTTAATATTTATAGTTTTTGAATAAGTGATTACAGATACTAATCAAAATTATGGATAAACTGTCCAAAGTTCATGTTTTTGTTCAAGTACTTTCAACCTTTTCAGTCATTATCAAAAACTGAACTTTGTTAGGATGGTGGCCAAGATAACCTAGCATTTTTTGGAATGCTATATTTCTAATTCAAATATATCTATATCATATGTGGCACAGCACTTGACTGCACAGAAAAATCAATGTATCGACTATTTCATACATATTACTATTTTATACACATTTCAAAATACTGTTTACTGTATACATTTTGTTTACTGTTATTTATGAATTCTCGCATCATTTAATAGACTGCATTTCTATCAATAACAAAAATAAATAAATTCTTATATTGGTTACATATGTACGACACACTCTTGCAGGTTGACTTGTCAACATATTGATCATCACCTGACAAACAACCAAACTACAACTATTAACATAAGATAAATATTAGTAGATAATATAATTAGCATTATATTACACTTACTGCAAGGAAAGACTTAAAATTCTCAGCATTATGACAACACTCAGTGCTTGATAATGGCCAGAATATTTGCAAGTACTAGAACAAAAATATAAATTTTGAAAAGTTTATCCACAATTTTCATTTGGATGTACTGCTTATTTAAAACTTATAAAAATACAATAAATTATTAAACCAATGGGTTGAATTTAAAAGTTTTTAAGTGCATACAGAGTATACAATAAAACTTGCATAACCACTGACATTTAAATTCTCATTTTTGCACGTATTCATTACATATTGGTGAAATTTACTACAAACATTTTAATTAAAAATAATTTTTAAATGCAATATTTAGTATTGATTTTTTTTTTTTTTTTTTTTTTTTTTTTAAATCAAAGTTATTTAATTGCTTCGTGCAGAGAATGATTAAAGCTAAGCAAGTAATTTTGATGGGGGAGCAAAATATGGATAAAAACTGGTTTAGCTCAAAGGCACATTTCTCAAGCAATAATCAAACTTTAATGACTGGTTTGAGAAATCATCACAGAAATGGCCATATTTATCAAGAACAATGAAATAAAGCCTTAATTTTTATGCATTTCAAAGATGTTCACTGAAATTTGCCCATAACTATGTTCATAACTTATAGAAAGAACAAAAATGTCTCTAGTCCCAATTTGTAATTGGGACAGTGTCACATTCTTAGCTGGCTTTCTTTCTCTAAGTACTTCATTTAAATTGAAATAAAAGTCAAAAAACTGTTGGCTTTGGTTAACAACTCACAATTTAAAATATTTTATATATATTTCCCATTGGATCAAAGTTTTTGATAATTTATTACAAATCAAATTCTTAGTTGTGATTTTTAAATTTTAGTCTATTTACTATTTTTTTTTTTTTTTTAGTTTTGGATAAGTCACGTTGTTAAAGACAAAAAAACAAAAAACAACCAGCTAAAAACTAATGAGTGTCAGTTTCTGGAAATCTAAGATTATTCATGTTTCTTTTGGATGTATCTTTTATTTTGAACGGCAATTGTGTTCTTTGTTTTTGAACTGATACTTTTATCACATGCTATTGTTTTTTTCATCAACAAACAGATGACACCTTAACGAAATCATAGAACCAATTACCAAGTTTTGGCAAAGCAAAGCACTTATCAAGTAATTATAACCTTACATCAATGCCTAATATGAGAAGTTTAAACAGGGTCACAGAAACTTTGGCAGTTAAATCTTGTTAAACTGCAATGAACCTGAGAAAATGAGAACAATAAAACAACTTCTTTACTTAAAAAGGCCAAAGAACATATCAGATAAAAGAGTAGACATTCTTTAAATGAAATTAAATGATTTTCTAATTTTGATAGATTTCATTGAAATAATGTCAACACAACAGTCAAGTCAATGAATAATACTATTTGTTGTGGTCAGAATTGATAGTTGCATTGAATTTTGTTTTCAAAGAAGTAAAAAAAAAAAATTCTTGGTTCTAATTTTTTAACAGTAATCCTAGATGTGGTGGGTATTCTTTTAAATTAATATTGCATTTCAAAAAGTTATAGATTTTTAAAAACTTAGTGATCCAGACCATTTGTAAAAACAAAACTGAAAATACCATTGTACTTTCTTCAAGAAAATAAAAATTACAACAAAAACAACGCATAAAGAACTTGTTTGCAAAATTTAATAATTTTGATTTAAAATACATTGTAATTATGATTTTTCTGAAAAATGATAGAAACAAAACTGGAAAGTAATGAAATTTTTTTTCATTACTTTCCAGTTGTTTCGATGTTTAAAAAAAACAAAAAAAAACAGTTATTTTCATATTTCTTCTTAGCCATATTTTTGTAGATGAAGAAATCAAGCCTATTCTTTATAAACTTTTGCTAAAAACAACTTATTCCAATTGAAGCTTAAAAATAAAGATTTTCATTGTTTTCTTCTGTCAATGTTTGTCAATAAATACTTTTACTTTGTTGTCGTTCGGTATTTAGCCATCCGAAACTCATAAAAAAGGATTTTTTTTACATTCAGTAACATGAAAACATCACAACAAAAGAGGATATGTGCAATGACAACCGGGGCTCTACAACATCCTTTTAATTTTAACAATGAAGTTTTAGAAAACTAAAAAAAAAGTATTGTAACAATTGAGAAACAGTTTAAAGCTGTAATAATTTCACTACAGATCATTTTAAAAATACCGAACTGTATACATTTCATAATTGGTGAAAATTATAATTTTATTAAATTTAAAATCTAGTAAATGATTTTTTCAAGTCTGTTACTAGTGTTACTGAGATTTCAATATGAGCACGTTTCGGTTTATGAGTTCAATTCTTTTGAGAAAATGTAATGTACTGTAATAATAATGAACATCACATGGATGAGAGAAGGGTTAGCCTAGGGTTGTTTGTTGACGAAGGAAATAAATAAATAAATGCTTCAAATTTAAGCAAAGAGAAATCCTTAAAATTAACAATATTTTTTCTATATAGCTCATCATTTTTTAATGAAAAACTCAAATGTCTTTTTTATCATTTTGAGAACTCTCCATACAACCTGGAGAAGGAGACTGTTGAATAGATTGATAAACGTTATTACAAAAAGAAAAGAAAAAATCACTTGTCCGAAAATCTCTTTAAAATAGTTTTACTTTTCTTTTCTATCGGATTTTTTTTTTAAATCTGAGACTGAGTGTAATGTGATCATTAGAAAGAATATTTGTTTTACTTTTTCTTTCTTTCACTAGACAAGTAAAAACTTTTTAAAAACGTTGTATTTCTAAAAAATAAATAAATAAATAAATAAGTACTTTTTATAAAATAATTTTATACCCCAATGTTCTAATTTGTCATACTGAACCATAATTATTATTATTACTACTACTATTTCATTATTTTATATTGCAAAATTTACAAAGGATTTTATTGTGAAAGAAATAGATGAAGAAATAAAAATATTTTTTCTAAAGAAAAAAAAAAACAGAAAAAAGAAATTAAATATTGAACAAAAATGAAAAGTAACTAGAATTAAAAATAAAAATGTTTACATTCTGAAAGTAAAAAAGAAAGTTTAATTTCTTCAGGTGTGAAAATTAAGTAAAAAAAAAAAAAAAAAAAAAAATTATACGCGTTTACTAATTTTATAAATTTTTTTTATTCTTTAAAGCGTGAAATAGCGTGACTGAATTAAGTTAAAAGATACAATCTTAAAGATCTTGACAGAAAAACTTTTACATCTTAAATCGGAAAAGTTTTTCTAAAATTTTCAAGAACGAAGTAAAAAAAGGTATCGTCCGAAAAATAAGAAATGAAGACAAAGAAAAATAAGTTTCATAATACAAAAAAAATTGCCTTAAGAGAATTCTTAATTACATGGTCGTAAGTTAATTTTGTACTTTTAAAAGGTACCATGTTCATTAATCAGTTTTATAAGACTAAAAAAAAATCAAGTTGCTGTTCAAATAATTGGACATTAATTTATAAATTTAAAAAAGCCAAAACGACACCAAGACAGCTTAAAAGATGGTGATTAAAAAATCTGAAACAGGACCACATACCGAAACGAGTTAACTCTCTTTGAGTTTTTGTTATCATGAAGTTTGTACTTACCAGCATAATTATCAAACAAAGTTGGTGAATATTCTGTAGGAAATGTATTGTTGGTGATCCTGGCAGCTAAGCCTGATTTTCCAACAGCGCTATCTCCAACTAGGACACATTTGATGTTGCTTTTGTCCAAACTTTCATCAAGTTCCGTCGTCATCTTTGGTTAATGGTTTATATGGATGAATGAAGAGTCGGAACTTAAAATTAAACGAAAAACGAAACAAGTTATTTCCCTTGGGAATATTTTTTTTTATCGTAAGAATTTTTTTTAAAAGAAAAGTATAAAATTTTCTTCCATTCATGATAAAAACTAAAAAAGACAATAAATTTTTATTTTGTGAAAGCTTTTTACTTCCTGTTTTTTCTTGAATATACTTTCATTCGTTTTTTCAGTGATAGAATGTGCATTTCTTTTATGAACGCTATTTTCATCATCATGACTTATTTTTCAATTGCTGTCACTTTATTTAATTTGAACCATTTTTCTTTGCTTATTTTGAGTCAACCGCTTTTGCTTCTGTCCCACAGAACATTCATGCCACTTTTCCAGCCAATACCAGGTTATTTATCTAATTCAAACTTTTATTTAAACTATTATAATGCTTCATTCAACTACAATCATTAATTTCTTAAGTTAATAGACCAACAAAAAAAAATCAACATGTTAGAATATTTGACTAAAAAATTACTTTGGAAAAACGTATGTTTTCCGGGATTTTTTTTAACTGTTTGTAATTATTTCTATGAGTTAAATTACATTTTTTTTTTTTGGTTTTAAAATTAATATATTAAAAATAAAATCATTTGAAGTAACAAAAACTAAGTGTAACATTTACATTCTATTTTTACAAAAAAAAACTGCCATGTGAATCATTTTCTTTCTTTTTTTTTGTAAAAAATGTATTCCTGTTGTGTTTGTTCTCATTCGTTTATTATTTATTCATTTGTTTTATTAGAAACAAACATACTTTTAAAATAAATCAAAAATGTTTTGCGGCAATTTTTAACATCCGCTTGAGATATTTTTGTTAAAAAGTTAAATAATTTTAAAACACATTCCACATTATGGATAAAAAATAGTGAATTGAATTTTAGTATTAGTACAGTGTAACCCGGATATAAGAGAGTTGCCGGGACCGGAGAAGAAGTCTCTTATATCCGGGTTTGGTCTAATTTATATTCATTAACACAGGCTCTAATTTGGGACCAGAGAAAATCTCTCTTATATCCGGGTTTCTCTGTATTGTTTTAGAAACTTAGCAAAACAAATTCATGGATTTGGACGAAAAAAAAAACACCAGAATGATGTCAAAATCTGCAAAACATTTTTCATCCTCTAACAAACTCAGTTGTATTTAGGTAGAAAAAAAAAGCAAATGTTGATAGTGAGGATCATATCCCGGGGCCTCCAATCAGGCTTAGGCCCCATTGGTGGGGGTGGGGAGTATGTGCAAGTCCTAACAGTAGAAACATAGTAATAAGGTAAATAGTAACATAAGATAAACAGAGGGGCGAAGTGGATAATGAAGAGTTGAAATTCTAACAATGTTAAATTGTAAAATAACCAACTCATAAACATAAATTAATGATGAAAGAACAAAATCTCACATAGGTAGTGTTTTTATATATATTAATAATTAATCAGAGTTGATTTTTAAACAGAGCTAAAATAAACATCCTGATTGGTTAGAAAGTGTAAATAATTTTAAACCAACTAATTCAATTATTGTCTGAATTCTTGAACTGAGGAATTATTATTATTATTATCATAAACTTATTTACTCTGTCTGTCATCACCTTAGTTATTAGAGTCACAATTTTTGACTGCTATACCTTCTATAAAGGTATTAGGTTTAACATAGTAAGTTTCAACCACTGGATTGTACTATGGGACACAAAGCCTAAAGAATAAAAGTATTGAATGAGCAGTGCTAGTTACCTGGCAGTTGTAAGTTTAATCCCTTTAATAACTGGACAAAAAATTATATATACTCTGGTTCAAAGTGGACTTAACTATAAAGAATTATTTGATATGAAATATAATCTTGCATGGGCAGTAAAATGAGAATAATCTCACTACATGGATTGAATGACGTGTTCAGTTCAAAATTCCCAGAAGGTAGATGTGTGTGTGTGTATGTGCACACATGTGTGTGGCTTGCTCCAAAAGTAATGTGTTTTATTTTGTTATATTGGCTCTCAACATCAGAGGTAGATATATAAAAATTTATATAAAAAGAAATGTAAAATTATATAAAAATAATTAAAAGGCAAATAAAAAGTAATACAATCAACTAGGTTTGTTCATTACACTTTTTAGGGGTGTGTTTAAAAAAAAAACATTTATTAAAGGAAGAAAGTTACTAACATGTATTCTTAAAAAAAAACTGTTAAAATGAAATGAAGCAGTTAGTAAAAACTGGCTTGAATAAAACTTGATGTGTAAAACTTTGTATATATGAGGCTCAAATTGGTGTAAAAATACCACCAAAATGAAGCCTGATGGTTTATAAAAAAGATACATGCATAAAATGCATAAAATTTGTGTTCAAAAAATTTGTAAAAAAAGAGGCTCAAGTGTGATGATAAAGTCTGTGAACAGGTGTGGTTTAAAGAATTACATTTTGTGATTTTTAACTAATGAGGAAAGTAAATTACGACTCCATAGTATTGAATTTCTGATTCAATTCAGAACTGACTTCTGGTTATTTAAGAAGTCTGATTTGTCTTGCAGACAGAAGGGTTTCAGCATTCACAAGAAAGACATTGGCTGGTTCTGGGAGTTGAACTTATATGAAGAAGAAAGGAAAGTAGATGGGTTTTAGTTTTCACAGGCGAAAGTCATCAGCATTTTCTGGGAGCCAAGCAAAGTTAAAAAGAAGATAAGAAAGTCTTTAGCATTCACAAGGAAGATGGCTGGTTCTGAAAGCTGAACATAGATGAAAAAGAAGAAGAAAAAACAGCAGAAGAGTTTCAGCAATCACAAGGAAGATGTTAGTTGGTTCTTGGATCTGAACAAGAGAAAAACTAAAAGCCACTGATAACATCTATGAGAAAACAAAAAGAAAGAAGCTGAAAGAAAGATAAAAGGAAGTAACAGGGAAAAGAAATATTCTTTAAATAAAAAACAGAAAAAAATACTTTAGAAAGGAAAAAATTTAAAGAGATATAAAATCATTTTTCTGTAATTGTGGAAGTTTGTCACAAAATTAGAGATATTAACCCACATTTTGGACTTTTTATGAAAATCTCATCTCTCATCTAAAACAACAACCAAAAATCCAGCAACACCTGTCAGTTGTCGACCTTCTCACTTTTGACAGTTGAATGGATCAAAGTAAGTGAACATTTTGTTGTTAATATTTATAATTGTTTTTATGTGTCCAACAGAATTGTGATTAGAACTTGTTATCTTGCTTAAGTGTTAAAGGTAAATTTTGTATTATTATTATTATTTTTCATGTCATTTAATAAATGTAAATTTCTTTCAAATTTCACACCAGAGTAAGAGTTTTGTGTGTTTTTTTTTGTTTTTTTGTGTGTTTTTTTTGTTTTTGCCATTCATAATACTCCGGATAAGAGCCTTAACATTCTTTCTTCTTCTCCCAAAATATCCTTTTAAAGGTTAAAGCTTCTTACAAATGACACATCATTTTTTGCTTTGCACTGACATGCCAACATCCATAGAATAACAGTATGTAAAGGTGGTACCTTAACTGTACCTTGAAGTCATGGAAATGCTCAGACCTATATCCATTGTGCTTTGATATCTGATGTACCATTGGGAACATTGGCTAAACTACTCATGGCAACAGAACATGAATTATTGGAGTTTAATAGGGATATTATAGTGGGTGACAGATGGATGAGACATTATATTTCTGGAATTATGATGACATTTGACATCCTTTAATCTATGGTGCCATGTGTGTACCAGGAATATCTGATGAAGGGCATTACTATCCATCATGAACAATGCAATGGCCAACTACAGATCTTTAATAACCATGACCAGAGGTAACAGACACTAGCTCAAATCATAATTACATTCAATGCACAATAGCAGCCAAATGGCAGTTTGACAAAATGCTGTTTGACATAAAAGTGTGTACAAAACAGAATGGCAGAGTTGTGTTATTGAATATGGGAAAGATTGCACCTATTAACATTCAACAACAATTGCTAAGTGTTTATAAAGACCAAACAGTGGATGCGTGCACAGGGTTTCAGCAGTGGTGGACAGCAATGTGCATAACTAAACAATGAAAAATGGACTACAAAAATTTCATTTTCCTGACATCTTCCATACTGAAAGTGGAAAAAAATTAGCTGTAGCTGAAAACTTGTTCCATCCATAGTGCTGTTGTATCTGTTGTAGTTTCTATTGAAATATATATGAGGCATAACTTCAAGACTATTCCTCAGACTATCCTATTTACGAGTTAATAAGACATCTTATGAGGTAATTTTTTAATTTCTTGCTTCAAATTCTATAGTTTAATCCAGAGCAAAAAGAATTTAATAAAATGTGGTCAACATGATATTTTTATTATTTTTATCCAGCCTCTACAATATAGTTGCCTAGCAACTATGATCATATGCAAAGAGCACATATGAACTTCACTGATATCAATTGTTAGTTTTGGAAATAAGTGTACAGTATGTTTAGATGAAGTTCAAGTAGATTGTTTTCTAAGCTAGAATGTCCTGCAAGCCTATATCAACAGGATACAGAATAAACGAAGAAGAGGACAAGAATGTCTCTAATCCCAATCAAGAATCAGTTGGACACAATTAGACAATGTTCTATTTTCTTTTCTTTCTACATTTTTTCTTTGTAAACACTAAAATTCTAAGATAAAAAAAAGAATATTTGAAATTCCATTTTGCTTCTTATTTAAAATAATAAATGTAAATCAGTGTTCTTTTTTCATGTTAAAGCAACTCTTTTTGAATTTTCCTCAAACTTGGAAATAAAAAAATATCAAACTCATCCCTAAGATTGTTTTCATTTAAACACTACTCAAGGATAAGTCACCTAATTTATATTAAATGATAATAATTTTACAATTCTTAAAGCACTAAAGGCTTGCATATGACTAACAAAGAAATAAGAAATAAAAAGGACATAGGAACATGAAAAGAAAATATTATAAG